TCCGTTTGTCTTTCCCCTTACATTTCTCTCCCATTTTTTTTCTTGCTTAGTCTTAGATTCCGTTATTCTCACAAATCTTACTTTCTTTTTTCTCTTTTCTTTTCCTGTAAACAATCTCAGACCGAAAACGAACCCCACGTTCTCTCATAACAGTGAAAATAGAACCGGTTTCGGTGGTGTAGATGTTACACTGTTGCACGCAGAAGACCTGTGTTCGATTCTCGTGTGGGAAACATTCTTTTGAAGTACATATTATATATAATATATTATGTTATAGTAGAGGGTTTTACGGCGCCCGCAACTGCATAAGGTCATATGAGCGCCAGAAGTACATAGTATCTTAGAAGAGTCACAGAAATTGGTGGACAGATAATTGGGAAGACATAATATGTAATAACATCAAGAGGCTAGCCCGGCCTAGGGAATAGCGGAAAGTGTTTGTTAGTGGCCTATATATATACCCTGATCCAGGGTGAAAGAGGCAATGGTGATGATGATGACATTCTGTCTTATTTCATCCTTTGTTTCATCCCAGTAACATCCTGATAGAAATAACTAGAGAGTTGGCCTACCCACTCGATGCTTAACGGGACCAGAAGATGATGATACAAAGAAAGTAAATTAGACATAGTACCTTAGGTTTTTTGCTGAGATGTTGTATTTTTTCTCAGCCCTAGTTAGTCCAGGTAGCAGGGTCGCAACCCGTATCCTAAATGATCGAATTTGTGTCAATGAGAGCGTAAAACAGAGCTACATTTGGAGAAAAAAGGGAAGAGAGGCGACTTTCACATCTGAATGAGGGTATAGATATAGCAGGTTCCCATAGCTACAAGCAGATATGTGTCACAACGAGGTGTAATCAGGCACTCGTCAATTTTTGGCCATGTGGAGTCATTGGTGTTATTTGAAAGCTTTATATTCATTTGCTTTGCTTTCTGTGAAAAAATACCAATGCGTATAGAATAGAAGTCGAGATATTTACCATTGAAGGAGGTGGGGGTGGCCTGATCTCAGAGGTAAAATTAGCGAGAATATATAAGGCAGCCAAAGTTTGGTAGCTTCTATAGCTTGAGATTCCTTGAAAACTGAAAATGTATATAAAATTTTGTGTCAGTAATCAGCGTCTTTCAGTAAAATTCACATGGAAATGTGCTTTTATGTGGAGTTAAAATGTGTTGAGCCAAAAAAAAAACCAATTTGTTTTGTAAAAATGTCCAAGCATTGGGAAAAAGTACCCTTTTATTATTTCAATATTTTGACGAGCGCCTGATTTGACCACGATGCCTCAGATATAGAGTTCTACTTCTTGGTAACGGAAAACTTCTGTATGGAGCCTAACGCCAATGTTTGGGAAAACGAAGTAGGTGCATCTTTCCGCTTACATCACATGCGGGTATACTGTTGAAAGAGGGGAGAGGGTCCTGTCTGTATGTTTGGCGCACAGCAAAACCCCCTCCCCACCCCCTCTCCCCT